CTATGGAAAATGGCTTCCTTTACTTAAGGAAATTGAGTTTTTTAATAAAAAATACAAGAACTGGGTTTCTGTAGAACTTATTTGTTCCTGCAATTTTTTCATGAAACAATTGAGCCTGCATAAGAAGTCACTGACATATTTAAGGATCAGATAAAACGAGTATCACATTAGTGTTAGCCAGAACGAATTCTTACCAACAAAATGTAGCCAGAAGCATTCCGATGAACAAAAAATGAAAAAGCAAAACAGAAATAACTACAAAAACAGCATGTGCAGCACTATGGTCGTACCTGAAATAAGTAAGATTAGATAAAAGTCAGCAAAGGATTCCTCACAGAATTCTTGGAAATGACTAAAGCTAGAAAAAAAAAATTAAAGAATAAACTGATAAAATACTCAATGAGGATAGAGCTTTTGAGCCAGCGCAATTTCAAATTTATGTGAACCTAGTATATCCAAACTGCAACTTTTACTTGTAGAGCATATGATTATTGTCCATTAATTTATTTTGACATTAGACAAACTTTTTCTTAAAAATTCCTGTGACCAAAGAAATGTTTGGAAGGATCTCCATCAGGAAGATGAGAACTCTTCAGTTTCATTCTGGAAATTTCAAATCAGCTGTGACCGTTATTTAAATTAATATCAGTGCTACCAAATTCTTTGTTGTATCTAGCAACCAGAAGGTAAGTAAACAGTAAACTTACGCAGCACAATAAGCCATAGTTGCAACTGTAAGTAGGAGGCTGCAGATTACAACAAAAGCAGGGTCGTCACGAGCCCATTGATTCTTAGTTTCTGAGACCAAAAGGAAAGTAAACAACTTTTCAATTGCATCAGATGTAGCAACACTATTTCATACTTTTGACATGTAATCAGTCCACCAGCATGGAAATAAATCAAAAAATTCAGAAATCCCAACTTAGTAAAAAAAAAATGAAAAGTAAAGAACTTACGCTTGTGGTACTTGGTGTGCTGATAGCTGCATCAGTCATACAGTTCCACATGCAAGACACAAAATTTGATATTAAGGAAATCAGGAGCAACAACAAAACAGCATGCTGATGATCTGAAAAGGTGAATACTTACACAACTTTTGGTGAGGTGCATAGGTGAAGCATTTGCCAAAAAGTATATTCAATGTCCATTTGTTGCCACTACAATAAACCAATAAAAAACAAAAGAAAACCCATTGAGATAAAGCATGCCTGAGGATTCAAAGTAATAATGAAATGCAATTAGCATTCTAGCTTCCGAAACCAAAAGTTTAAAAATACTTAAAAGAGTTAGGTATAAGGCAACAGAGAAGACATAGATGAGCTGAAAAATCCACACCTAAGACCTATACCCAATACTGGGTTATGCAATAGATGGAATTAAAATCCCAATTAATGTGATTATATATCCTCTCAATGTTCAATTTGTATAACATCCCAGAAAGCTTCATGGTTGCTGAAATATATATTTAGTTTGTGAATTTGTGCAGGTCACAACCCTAAATTTAGAAGATCTAGATCCCCTTACAAATTGTATAAGTGTAGCAGGTCTCAATTTTAAGTGTAGGTCGCTATAAAACAGGGATTCCAAGTGAGACTGAAAATTCACATCAAACCCTGTGGGTTGTGTCTGGGTGCAGGGCTCAAAATATGATTAACTTAGAAGGATAGACACAAGAGCCCATAATATCTCCAACCCCCTCGCTGTACGAAAATATTACTCCTTTATCCTAGAAACCAAGTTGCTAACTCCCAATTCAAATCAGTCAAAAAGTCCCTAAATCTCTATATTATTTATCTGAACCCATCATGGTGGAAGATTCCGTTTTCTTGCCTCGCTTACTTTCTTCTTTCGCAATATCTATGTAAACTATATGTTTTCCATTTTGTAGTTAGCACTAAGGAAATGTGTTAGGGTTCTGCATTCCACAACCCATCTAGCATTTTCATCTTTGGTTAAGCTAGGCTTGATTTCTATTTTCATCATTCCTTCATGTATAACTTTTCTCTTTTAATGGCACTAGTTTTGCACATGATAGAATCCAATGATCTTAGGGTTCAACCCCAGAGATGCCAACTTAAATCCTCCAGCATAGCAACAGTACAAACCCAATGTTAAACTAGAACCCAGGCACTCATTAGCCTGACATTGAATCCAAAATTTATGCAGCATTTTGTGTTTGGGCAACAATTTTCCATTAACCCATTTCAGCCTTCCTCTGAAACCTTGCAAGAAGTTTTAAACTTCCCCCACCAGGCTAACAGATCCAAATCTTAAGCTCTCCGGCTTCCTTCTTCTTTTGATTAAAACTAAGAGTTCAAACTCTTCTCCAAGTAAAAGATTCAAAAAATTCTCAAGCATCCACCGAGTTCACTCCAATTTCTCTTTAAAAGAAATCTAAAAAAAAAATGACATAGTCCAACTATTTGAACCCAGTCCATGTGATGAAATAAGCTCAAATGCACCTCGTTTCCATAGAATAGCCCTCCCCATCTAAAAAAGTGATGTTTTCCACCTTCAAACGAATTAAAGAATTCTCAAGGGCTTCCCAAAATGAGGTTCGCAAAACTCACTAGCCGCTCAAAGCCTCAAAGAATTTTATCCCCATTTGCTACAAAGCACATATGGGGATAAAATTCATAATAAGAACCTACCTAAAGACCTTAAAGCAACCATTCTGAACCCACTTTAAAACCAAATGGAATTGAAATTTCTGTTGGACATACAGATTCCAGAGCAATCAAAAACACTAGTTCTTCCATAATTCAGAGTTTTTACAACATTATTCGTCCAACTAGATCCAACCCCAAATTATGAAATGCTCAATTTAAAAATGAAACAAATTAGTAAGCAGATCAGATCCAGAGCATAAACAAATAGAATCTGAGAAGAATGGAGCACCTTGATTATTCTTCGAAGGTACTGAATGAACATGGGGTTCGTCCGAGATGTAGAGGACGACGACCGCCCTCTCGACGTTGTAGGCAACATCTTTCTCCTTCACTCCTCCCTCTTTCTTTCTCTGTATATCTTCTCTTCGAATTCTATGCACCTCTGCTTCGCTGATCTATAAGATCTCTGGAATTTCCACAGCTCTCTCTCCTCTTCCTCTCGAAAGAGTACAGAATTTTCAGATGGCTGGAAAGCAAAACGTAAACGACTACTTCTTTCTCCTCTATTCGTCGTATGCAGCCCGAATTGGATCAATCGGGAAATTGGGCTGGACTTTTTTTGTGCATTCTGAGGCTGAATTTTGGGTTGGGCTTCTGCTAAACAAGGCTTGGACAAGAGCAAACAACAAGAAACAAGAGAGTAAATTTTTTTTAACACACCATCGATTTTTTTTTTTAATACAAACAATAGAATATTTACACGATTCTTTTATAAAGGGCTGATATACACACAAGGATGCACCATCACAAATATATGTTGTCTTTTATCATCCATGTCAGTCGAACATGAGACATGAGACCTTTTCTAACCAAGTGAAGACAAATATCACTAAACCAAAGACTAGTTAACAATCAAACGATATTGAGTGAAGAGAATTTGAACACGCAATCTTAAATGTTGAAGCTTAACATACAAGATACATGGTACATGAAATGTTCGTTACAAGGCTTTGATATTTTTTTGTTATACCTAGCAACCCTCAAACCCTCCACACTCCTCCCAAACTCAAACTTGACTTCTTTCTTCATTTTGCTATGACATGTTTAAGTTTGGGTCAACCTTCCATGACTCTACTTGCCTAATTTTGGTATGGTGACTCATTTTCCTTTGTTCAAATCTTTTAAGGTTTATCATGATATGGTGACTCATTCAACTATCGACAAACTTATGTGTAGAATGTAATGCATCAAAATCAGCATCTTACAAAACTTTCTAATTTTGTAAGTACCAACATTTAGACATAATGGCTGAGATTTACAATCAACAATGGCAAGAGTTTCAATAAAACTATACTCATAAGATGTCAAACTATCACTCTATATGGTAAGTTCAAACAAAACTCACCTTATCAATCATATAAATTGAGAATCCAACAATATAACATTTTTATGCTAGGCAATGCCATTGCCAATTGACAACACTCATGATAATACATTCAAATAAGACTCGCATGTTGACACTCGGCACATATTGAGCCCATCCGCCCAATAAAAGCATGACATGTGGGCCTCGTGCGACGCACTAGAATAAACGAGTTGTCCTTCCTTGGCCTCGGCCTCCGAGCTGTCTTAGAAAGATCGAAAGGATATAAACCAGTCACATCGATGACAAGACCCCCTTGACCGTCGACCCGCCGCGCCTCACAAAGCGTGCCCACATCCCTTCGAAAACCAGGTGTAAACCGTCCCCGTCACCACCCCACCAGATGAGATTGCCGCCGTATGCAACAGGCTATTCTGCCCAAGCCCGCCCCCTAGTTAAAAATGTAAGAGGGTCAAACATCGCCTAATTAATAGTCTAACGGTGCTATACGATGCTAGACTACATTCATAATGCAAATAAGAATCACATGATCAATTTTCAGGAAAAAACAATCCCAAATACTACAAAGGCAGTACGGGATCTGAATAAATAAAAATAAAACACGGTAGTTGAAAATTAATTTTCTTTTCAAATTTGAAAATCTGAACTTCACGTGTATTTGGTGGAGAATAATTTGAACGAAAAAAACAAATTTGTATACTCAGAAAGGGGGTATGTACTGACAGTACTGTAACCACTACGAAACGAATATACAAAATTACAACCCAAATAATACAAAATCTGAAAAGTCAAAAGTCCAACCAAACCATATGCTTTTCCGTCCAAAAGTTGTACGTCATTCAGTACGCAACCGTACCAAAAACGGGCCTAATTTTAAACAACCATTTTTTCCGTTTTTTCTCTTTTCATTTTAAATATAGTTTTCTTCTTCTATATGCAGAAATCGGTTATGGTTTGGTTGGAATTTAACAACAGTGCCAGTGTCAAATCGAAGCACAAACAGCGAATTTGAGTCCAACCCAAAAAAAGAAAGAAAATTCAAATTTCTAAACTGTGGTCTTTCACCTTCTGTACATTCTCAAAAAATTTATTTTTTCTCCTAAAAAAGAAAAAACGACAGTTTTTTTGGGTTTTTGCGCCTGTGTGGCTTCTCTTCTCAACTCCACTCTCTAATTCTGATTTCTTAACTCCCTAATCCTGATTAATTTTTCATTTTGAACTCTTAATCAAGCTTGCTGATGGCAATGCGCTTAACCCCAGCATTTCTCACACCCTCACTGTGTAAGCACATCCCCTCCATATAACTTCTCACTTCATTTCTTATCATCTCCTGCATCACAGACAAAAACTCCGGCTCGAATGACATCGTATTACCAGTCTCAGGCTGCAACGACGCCGTTCCATCTACTCGGCGAGCGGCCGATTCAAGGATGGGCAACTCGTGCGACGCCGTATCGTCGATTCCTGGTAAAGACAGAGTCAGCAGTGTCGACGGTTCGTGCGCTTCGTTCTTGCTGTCATTCTGACTCGGAGGCGACTCGCGAGTCAACACTCCGCCGGTTCTCGCCACGGGCCGGAACAAGTGAGACGAGGAGATGGCGGGCGCGCCCGAGTCGCTGACATCGGATCCGGACGGGCTCCCAGGGCTGTAACAGAGGCCAGAAAACGACACCGCTGCCGTAGCCGTTTTCTTCTCCGGCCGAACGTGATTGTCGTCGATCGTGGCTCCATCGTCGTTTCCCGAGATTGCCGAGAACTTCCGCTTCAGCGTCGAGTTCCAGTGGTTCTTGATCGCATTGTCCGTACGGCCGTTGAGAAGCCTGGCGATGGTGGCCCACTTGTTGCCGTACTTGGCGTGGGCCCCGGCAATAATCTCGTCCTCCTCGGGGGTGAAGGCCCGGTGCTCCACCTCCGGCGAGAGCTGGTTGCACCATCGCAGGCGGCACGACTTGCCGGATCGGCCCGGCACCGACTTGCTTATCAAGGACCAGTTGCGAGCGCCGTGGTGCTGTACGAGCTGCCGTAACTTCTCGTCCTCGTCGGGGCTCCACGGACCCTTGACCCGATCCAGTTCTCTCTGCGCTTGCGCCGACGAGTCCATTGCCGATTCGCGCTGATCCATTTCAAAATCAGAAAAACCCTAACCCTAGATATAAGCGAAACGGAAATTAAAATTGGGATAAATATTCTACAAAATTGGAGGAGAGAAAGATTGGGAGAGGCGCGGAGAGGCTTTGAGGAGAGAGAGAGTCTCGGCCTTGGTGGGCTCTGAAGATTTTGTGAGAGAGGGAGAGAAGAGTTGGAGGGTTTATAAAGGAGGGGCTAGGGTAACTGATAGGGCCGGTTAACCGAATCGGGTAACGGGCGTTATGGCAACCGGTACTGCTGCGTTACCCGTTACATCACTCTACAGCTGTATAACCACCACGCGTTGCCACGTAGGCCCTGTGGATTGCTGAGAATCCTCCTCCCACTAAAATCTCGGCATCGCGCAATTTCTCTCGCGAGAGAGAGAAGGAGAGCGTTAAGAGTTAGTTTCCCGTTTTGACTGGTTGCAGTTATGGAAGTTTCTGAGGTCCTATTTAGTTTTACAAAAGATTTTATGGAAAATTATTTTTCATTTTTTTTTTTCAAATGAAGAGAAATTGGAAATTTCATTTATGATGTTCGGTAATGTTGGAATGTAAGCATGAGATACCACTTAATATTCTTTGTTTAGTTTTCTAATTATATACAGTTAAAAATATGAAATATATAAAATAATAAAATAATAATAATTATCTTGCTGGATAAAATTGTAATTCTAAATTGTAAATGTGGATAGATTGATTATGAAAAAAGTGTACATACTGCTAGACTTTTTTCCATGTGAAAAGAAAATGAAAACAAATAGAATAAAGGGTTTGTCCCACCTTTTTTCATGTGATAAGAAATTATTTTTTATACTTTCAATCAAATATTGCTTTTCTATTTTCAAGCTCATTTTCCACATGAGTAAAACACATAAAGGAAAAGAAAGAGATGAAAGGAAGTTATTTGTGAAAATATCGCGAGAAATTGGGGAGAGATTAGAGGCGGTTGAGGATAAGTTTGACTGAGCCAGGCTGGAGAGCATTACGTGAGAGATTTTAAGATTTTGGTTCGGTTTCTTAACTTTTGTTTTAAATATTTTGTTTTATTGTTTATTTGGGGGGCACGGAAGTGCTGAGGTGGAGGAAAACGACAAGAGCGGTCGCGAAATTGGAAGTCGGGTCATGACTGACAAGCTGTCAGTCCAGGCTGTATACCTGGCGCGCGGCTGAGACTATGAGACGCCAACGGCCTTCAGTGTCCACCGACACCAGGCGGTCATCATCGAACTTCTAACAGTATGTTGCGTGATGAAAACGACACCGTAGGCGTTTGCTTGCTTAATTTAAAATTTGAATTTGGGAGTTGTAAATTTGGGAATTAATTAATTAATGAGTTAGCTAATTATAGAAGATAAGCATCAACGGATCAGTACCAGATTTCTGTTGATACGGCTACCTACCAACTCTGTGCTTTGGTACTTGTTTAGTCCAAGTTTCTTACACACTCATTTTCTGATTATATATATATATAAATGGGTAATTTTTATTTTACTACATGAAAGTTTACTGAGTTTCATCTTTCGATACATCAAATTTTTTTCGTATCAATCGCATGCATAACGTTTATTTTCGTGACACTTTCATACATCCGTTAGTCTGACTGTCATATTCTCCGTTAAATAATGGTGTGACAATCAATGTTGACACGTCAACTAAATAATGAAAATATGTTTAATTAATTAAGTGGAATTTGTTCTTGATAGACAACTTGTCATGTTATCACAATTTTTTATTTTCAAATAGTAGGAATTTCATTAAATTCGAACTGAATTGTTTACATCTGATACTAAGAACATTATTATATTTACTCGCTCGAAATTCCTATTTTCCACCATTAAAATTCAGTTAATATTACCCAAACAATTTATTTTGCAATAAATAGTTTCTCCATTAAGGATTTGTGGTAAAGACTAATTAAGGAATTATATTGTGTCAATTTTTTGTTACAAACTAACATTTGGTCTAATAGTAGTTGCTTATGTTATGTTTAAGAAAGTCTCAAGTTCGACTCACGTGTATGTAAAAATGATACAATGTAGTTACATGAATCAACTAACTCTCACTCATCTTGAGGTTGGTAGAGATCTCACATTCGAATCATGCTCTCCAATTGATCATAAAATCTTGGGTTACAATAAATAAACAAATGGAAGGAAAAAAAAAACTCAGAGACAAATTGAAGTGTATCAGTTTCGGAATAAACAAAATTATTTTCCTTAAAAGGAAGAATAAATTAAATTCTAACCAAAGTCAGAATTCGTTTTGGTTAGCAATATGCCAATGCATATAAAGAAGAATCTAAAAATAGGCCAAATTTGTCCCTCATAATAAAGTTTCATTGAGAATAATAATTTGTTTTGAATTTATTTGTCGTCCAAAAGGAATTTCGTTTCAGCCTTGCTCAGTCAACATCAAGAAGTTGACTATGTAAGTTCGGTTCGTTTCAAACATCAACTTATACCCCTAACCGGATAAGATTATGGTCGAGATGAGGCAATAACTTTTGGCTCCCGTATGGATCCGCAAATCGAACACTCATATTTTTTTCGATAAATTTATATATAATGAGCATATATCACTATTCTCATATACAGAGAATAGTGACATAGGCTCGTTTTATGTAAGTTATTTTCTATAAATTGTTAGAAATGTCCCAAATAATGATTTGAGAGTTCAATCCAAGTAACTTTAACATTAAAATTGATTCCGTTTGGACGGAGGAATTTGAAATAAACAATTTGGATTTGACAACAAGGTCATTTGCTACAAAAACTAGAAAACATCAAAATTGAATGTATTTTAAATAACTAGACTTAGCATATATGAAATGGATTTGAAACGATTTTATGCAATAAATCATTTGAAATTCTTTTATTTTCTTCATTTATTCTTGTCTAAATTTTGGCACACATGAATTGTAATAGTTTGAACAAACAATTTTACTTTATAATAACCGTGGCTTTTGCCCCTTTTCTAGTAGTGAGTGTTCAAGCTTGAGAGAAAATGTTTATCAATGAAGATAAAGAATTCTAATTTCATATAAACTTTAGCACTTGCAACAAAGTTACTATTAAGAGTCCGTAGGTAGAACTTGCCTATAAAAACTAGCTTATAAGAGCATCTGCAATGGGCTCCCTAAATATTTATCATGGAAAAGAAGGTTTGTGAATGAGAAATCAATTATTTTCCCATGTTTGGTAAGTCCATATATGGGAAATAGTTGCCTTGCATATGGGAAAGTAGGGGGAAAGTGAAGCCCTCTTCCCCCATTGGGTTTTTTTTGTTTTCCCTCCTCATGAGAAACTAGAGAGTATGATTGGAGTTCAAATTTTATAGGGAGCTCCTAAAATAGCTTTTGTGTGATTTTAGCTAAATTTTAACTATAAAATAAAGAACATGATTGTGGATGCTCTAAAAGAAAGGTACCGAAGAGCTCTTAAAGCACTTTAAAATATGCTATTTTTACAATGTGAGATCTTGAATGCTCACAATTACAAGAATAAAGGATGCCAAAAAAACCACTTCATTAAGGATAAGGATAAACTAAATAGAATTAAAGGCAAAAATATAATATAAATAGTAGAGATACAGTCAGTACATGTGGTTGAGATTTGTGGACAATCGAGGATGTTTCGTCTGAGGTAGAGTGCATCATGCTTTTCCCAGGCATTGCACATGATTGCATTCATTGTCCAACAAATTACCATATAACTAATTTCCATTAAATTTGTGTTTACATCCCATATTTCTTTAATTAATTATATTTTGATGACTAAACAACAAGGCTTTGGTGACCGTTGAAACAAGAAGCAAGCAGCTCAAAACAAAACCAAACCCAACTCTTTGCTTTTTGTTTAATGGGGTACAAGTTCTGCATCAGCAGACCATATCTTTTGCCAGAAACATGTTAGTTTGATTTAGGTATGTTGTCATTAATTAAATACTAATCGGCATTGGATTATGGGTTTTGCATTAAGCATAAGTTAACAACGATTTTGCACGTGGCTGCGAAGCGTCGGGGATGTTTCGTTTAGTCTTCTTTTATTTATTTTAATCATCATCAAGCATAGTTAATTATGCTTTGCAGCTCTCTAAAAGGGGAAACAATGCTTAGTTATTTTATGCCCCATATTCCATTGATGTACGAGAACATGAAAAGGGGAAAACAAAAGGTTTTCGCTGCATTCTTTTCTTTACGTTCAGCTAGATCCAAAGCCCATCTGAAAAGGTCTGAACAATATTCTCTTGCTTTTGCCAAATTAAAGGAAAATGGGAACGCTGTTTGAGAGTTTTTATCAGCACGAGGAACACCGGAATTCGAATTCACATCTTTCAACGTCGAAAAGAGGAACCAACAATTTGTTAGTACCGTATCTTTATGCTTTAATAATTGGATGCGAAAGTGTAGACATAAGAAGAGCGCAAATGTACAAATTAGGATTCCGAAAATCGTCACTGTTTTCAAATAGAACGGTATTTTTGCAACGTATGGCTGAGATAAATGAAAGTGTTTTTTTCAGGCTATTTTTAGGAAGCTTCACATTGGTGACGCGCTAAGTCGCCATATTTGATTCATTGTTCAACGTATGAGATATTTATAGAGAACCGAATTTTGTGGTTAAAGCTTTAGCAGATGTTGATCACTGAACCATCCTCTAGTATCCTTTTTTAAAAAGTTTACCTTAGTAAAATAATAAAAATTAACACAATTAATTGCATAATATAAAGTTGGGCATGTTTGTAGATAAGCAAATTGGTTGGTTAGAGTGGAAGGGGCTCTGGTCGCTTAAGCAAGTGGTCTCAGGTTCGAGCCCTTGTGAATGCATAAAACTTTTTTGGGAGAGGTCCCCGCATATGCGCCCGACAGTATCTCGGAGGATTAAGCCTGGGCCATGCTTGGGTATACCTTGGGAAACCAAAAATTGGTTGGCTCATTTTTTAGCGAATTTGACAGTTTGTAATCCCTTTGTTTTTAAAAGCAAAAATGACTTATATGATGAACAAAGTTGGAGTCTAACGTAAAAATTATTAGAATAACATTGACATCAAGTTTTTTAGGTACCTTAAAATTCATATAGGATTTGATTACTCGAGTGCATGGATAACGGCTCTTAAACACGTAAACTACAATTGCCTTGCAACTCGATTTCCCTCTTATTTTTTAAAGACCTCGATTTCCCTATTGACTCTGGTGAAGAAAGAAAAAGCGAAGAATAGAACATACTTGAGGCACAGTTAGAGCCCAGCCCAACCCAACCCAAATCCTGTTTACGGGTGGCCTCGTACAAGAACCAATAGCAACATATAAAAACCCTCTTCGAATTCTGGATGGCGCTAAATTAAACCCAAAGTCACAACACTCTATCTGCCATTAGGGTTCTTCAAATCTCTGGACGTCCCTCTTCAATCTCAGAATCCACAAATTCTGACATCACACTCCACACCTGAATCAGAAATTAGGGATTCTCTTCTACGACATGTCTTCGGGCGGACCCAAAGACGGGGACTTGCAACTGGTGGCGGCGCCTGAAAGGAAATTAGCGCTACCGCCAAAGCCACCGACAACGCCCAGCTCGACGGCGCTTGTGGAGTATACGCCGCCGGTGTTCAAGGAGGAGGAAGAGGACCTCGAGATCAAGCTCCGGAGGATTCTCGAAAATGTCCCCGTCCGCGTCAGCAACACCTCAGGTAGCTCCGCCGGGTCGGGCTCCGGCGACTTTCATCAGGTATGTATATTAGCTGATTCAATATCACAATGGTGACTGTGTTTTCACTGTATTAATTAGATATTTATGGTTATTTGATGAAATGACTGAACAAATTGGAATACTTAGTGTTGATATGTATTATATTAGCCTAGTAGGGTGTCTTGAGAAATTTGGTTATTCAGAATTTAGATAGCTGAGTATGAAACATAAGTAATGTAGTTAGGGGCCTTTGGTTTGGAATTTGAATTTACTTTTGGGCTTAGAACCCCAAGGGTAAAACATTTACCCATGTCCATGGTGAGAGTTTGATTCTTACCCTCAGTGGGAAAAATCTGGAATTTACTTGCCATGATGTTGTATTTGAGTGTTTGTCATCCCATGCATAGTGTGTGACTGGGCAGAGACTGGGGGCCATTGAACTCTCAAGCAAGGGGTTTAGGGTTTTTCAATTTTGGGATTGAGCAAGTCTTTCCTTATTTTAGTAAGATTCACTGCTAGTATATTGAGGGTGTTGTTATATTGTATGTGCTTAGCCTAATTGCAAAAACAAGTTACAGTACATTTGGGCAGCCACGTATGTCCCATAAGGTAGAACAATGTGTTACTGAGATGCAAGTGTTGCACACCTGAGTTATGCTCAATTTTTTGGCAATCAAAGAGATTCTGTCACGGAATAAAGCAGGTTGACTATTCAGTGTTTGTTTGGGATTGGTGGAAACATTTTGGTGCCCATGTTGGCTGACCGGATTTTGAGTATGGTGGTTGCTCTGTGTGGACAATATGGTATCATGAATTTGTTTAATCACTTTAGCAGGTGGATTGCAGTACATGACCTTAATTAGCAGAATTTTTTCTCATATAGACGAATCTCTGTCTCTCTATCTGGTTTGAAATAGTATGTTCTGCTTGAACTTGGGGACCTTCCCGATTTAAACAATGTATTGTACTCTTTGAAAAGGTTTTTTTTGTTATTATATGTACAAGGGATGGATAAACCTTCTATCTTGAGCAGTGCAGTAGAGTGCAGTGTTTTTCTTCTTTCAAGTTTGAATTAAGGGACAAGAAAGGCCCAGATTTGTACCCCAGTCAGCCTGAAGGAAGTTGAATTGAAGCCAACAGAGCTGTGCCCTAGGGTATTGCAATAGAATACAGCCAGTTGCTAGCTTTAACTGCCTTTTTTCTCCATAGTTTTGAGTTTGATGTTGAATCAGTCTCAAGGGATGGATAGTTGATACGTTTGATCAGTATTTGAACACATAAAACTATAATTTTCTTTTCATACATCTGCTTTTTGCTTGACATTGGAATATTTGATTAGTTATGATTTGTTGGACACTAATCTGGCTGCTAAATTTCATGTATACTTTCTTCTCACCCCAAATTGTGCCTGAACAGTATCGGCAGATGAGACGGAAAGAGCAAGACAGGCTTGCTAGGATGGAGGTGGACTATCAAAGAAGGAAAGAAGAGGCCGAGTTCATAATGAGAAGGGAGGAAAGATTGAAATCAGCAGAAGAGCGGACAGCAAAGAAGCGATTGAAACGTCAAAAGAAAAAGCAAAGGAAGAAGGAGAAGAAGATTAAAACGAGTTCAGGTGGCGAAGAGAATCAGAAAGGAGAGTCCACAGATGAGGATGAGGGGAACTCTGATGATCAAACTGAACAAGCTTTTGATAAGCTATAATTCTTGATGTATTGGTTAAAGCTTGGTATCCACGGGCAGAAGGAACAAATACGCACCAAGTTCATCGGGATTTCGTTTTTCTGAAGTCTAGAATTTGCCATGTTTGTGACCTGAATTCGATTGTATGTATAATGTAATCCGAGATTCCGAGATGTAACAACCCGAGAGATCAGAAAAAAAAAAATTTAGTTTAACTGGTTTTGTATTTTCTTAATGGATCCATCAATCGTATTTTGCTTGTTATCAAATGCAATGTTGAACAAAAATGATGCGGTTTTGTCTCCATGGGATGGTCACGTTCTTCTCTGGACTGGCATATGTACTAATTGTTTGCTTGCAATTGCATCATGTTTGTTGAAGGGTTTGCTTCACCCGGTACAAAGTATGATAGTTGGCAGTTTATCTGCTTCCCTGTGAATGTTACCTAACGCAGAGTGGTCCCCTTTGCCTTTGCTTCGCATGTGACCTACAAGGAAGGAAACATATAACACAAGACATTCTATATATCATCTTTTTCTAAAACTTGGTTTCTATTTCTATATAGCATCTTAGTTTCCGGTTAAGATGAACGATTTAGTCAAGCACTATTCTCTTATGATAATCGGGACGGTCCGATGATCAAATACAAAATACTTAATTTAATGTAACATACTTTCGGCCTGTGTTGCCCTGCTTATGTAGGAAGCACTTTTTCATGAGCCTTTTTTTTATTACAAGTACGTCAAAATTGTTCCTAAAAATTCAAATATTTCTTGAAGACAAGCTTTTTCAAGAAATTGTTTTTAAGACCCATAAACACTTTTAAGTTTTTTTACCAAACAAGATCAAAAAAGTTTTTTGTTGTTAGAAAGTACTTTGAGCCGTTACAAAAGCCGTGCCAAATAATCCCTTAAAAAAGACCCTTTTATGATAAGTTGGTGAGATTAGAGTTTGCAGTTAGACCCAAATCTTGCCCTTACTAAATGAGGAGTTAAGATGAGATTTATTAACCCAGAGAGACCCAGTTAGCAGTTTGGGCTGAGAAGTTAATTACAGTCCAAAAATAAAAAATAAAAAATAAAAAAAGGGTACGTTTCTATTTCTTCTTCTTTTTAATTATAGTTCATCCATTTTGTAATTTCCATCTCCCTCCCTATCAAAATACCTCTCCAACTTCTCTCTTTTCTCTGAAAACCCTAATCTCCATGGGAGAATCTGTCCCTCCTCGTCGCATTTCCGTTCATCAAGCTCTCGGCGGTGGCCTTGGTACCCTCTCTCTCTCTCTCTCTCTCTCTCTCTGTGTGTATATATACATGCACACACATAATTTATACAGATGCTTTTGATTTGTATATCAGTATAGGAATATTTCCGATTCCGATTTGGTCTGGATCCCATCTACTTCCATTGATGACGACTGAATATAATATCGTTTCTAACATTCGATAGATTTGAATTATGTAACTTCTACATTTTTATTCAATATAATCTTGTTGATTTGATTGTAATTAATTTTGCTAATTTTGTTTCTGGTAGTTGCTGATGTGCTGCTGTGGAAGAAATGGAGTGGAGGAGTTTTACTGCTAACCTCTACAGCAGCCTCGTGGTTCCTATTTGAGCGAGCTGGTTACAACCTCTTGTCCTTTGTGGCCAATGTTCTACTGCTTCTTGTGGTCATCCTCTTCCTATGGGCCAAATCTGCTTCCCTTCTCAACAGGTACCCTTTAATTCTTGGCGATTTCAACCTTTTCTTTTTGGGTATACTGTACTATTGGAATTTCTGGGTTCTGTTAGCTTAGATTGGAAGTACTTTCAGTAGGAAAATATTAAATTTGAATTTTGAAGTACTTTTACTGAATATATATTTTGCAAAGAAAGTAAACATAAACACGAGTTGAGACGGATGAAATAGAATCAATAGTTCTGGGGAAGATTGGTGATGATTTAAACGGTTCTAAGCATTGATTTTAGTTTGAGGTAATTTAAAATGAATTGCAACATCTGCTGTCATCCAGACCTTTGCCACCTCTCCCTGATATGGAAATCTCAGAGGCCTCTGTCGTCAAGGCTGCCGATGCACTGCATGCTTGGATTAATCGTGTTCTGTCTATTGCACGAGACATTGCTATTGGCAGAAATTGGAAACTCTTTCTTCAGGTTTGGTGTAATTGCTTCCCGCCCTAGGTTTATGGGACAATGAGGTCAATTGGTTTTTATGGAAGGCATTGAACAGAACGTGGTTTATTTTACAATTTGGAAATTTCGCTTTCTGTGTGCAGGTTGCTTTCTGCTTGTGGCTAGTATCTTACATCGGAAGCTTCTTCAACTTCCTCACTCTTGTCTACATTGGTAAGCTCTTCTCTGCCGATTGTATCTTTATATATTTATGTGAATATTCTTGCCAGATTTACTATATTTATATATGTGCATTTATTTAAATATTGTGCAGGGGTTGTTCTTAGTCTTTCAGTGCCAGTAGTGTATGATAAGTATCAGGGCCACATTGATGAGAAGCTTCTTGTAGCAAATAGAGTAATACAAACACAGTACAGGAAAATTGATGATAGCATCTTAAAGAAAATTCCATTGAGATCAAACAAGGAGAAGAAGGTGCAGTAGGTAAGTGTGATCTCTCTCTCTCTGCACTTGCGGCGCAGTTTTCTGTTTACCTATGTATATTATTTCTTCTTCCTTCTCATCCCTAAAAATTGTGCATCGAGGCATTAGAGGAATTAGTTGAGGCTATGCTTGTTATATATGCTGGTTTGCTGAATCCATCTACCCTGTTGATTTGAAAGATTCTCTGGATTTTGTTTGTATGGTGCACATGTCATAGGATGTGATCAGTGTTTTGAGTTAATGCATCTGGTGAACTATTGAAGTGTGTGGAATCCTTTCTTAAATTATGCTTTAGGATGACCATTCCCATATTGAGAATTACGCCAAACCTTTAGGTGGTCTTTTGACGTTAGCCCTTATTTGTATTGAGAAAGGCATCTGTAATTTTTCAAACCCCATTTTACTTTTTGGTATATGGGAAGGAATTTTTAAGAGAGATATACTAATATAGAAAGGATGCATGTAGAAGCGCATTCAGTCCCTTTTACTTTTCGGATGCACCTCCTATTTTCAAACTTTCAAAATTGGGAAACAGAAAAACGGAATGCCTGAACTTTTGAGTGGTTAGAGAGGAATGGAGGCCAATCTTTAGCACAAGTGGAGTGAGTATGAACATTTAATTTATGGGTGTCAGTACGTGTTGAGTGAATGGGTGTCTTATTTTGATGGATGATTAAGCAATTTCTGTACAGCTCCCTTTCATTGGCAATTACAAATTTAAGTTATTCCTCTGTTTAGTGTCTGTTTCGAGAAACCGTCTTGTTTTTCTTGTGACCCTGTGATATCTTTGTGTGGATTGAAAATCTGCATAGACCCAAAGGGAGAACCACACTTACGCTGGGGGAAATTTTCGCCCAAATTTTTTGGTTATATTTATTTATACCTTTAACACACTTACCCTAGTCATCCCGACTCAAATTATTGCTTTCCTCTTGTGAAAATTTAAACAATTCTGTCATATCACCTCAAACCAATTTACAGCTCCTATAAATTAAAAAGGAAGGGGA